TATTACTATACAACAAAATAAATACGAAACGCATACTCTACAGAATACAAAATGAGTTTTTAATAAAAACATCATCCGGAGTGTAACAATTCATAGTTAAATACTCCATTGCGGAGTGTCAAATCAGTAGTTACTTGTTTCACGAACTCCAACTGGGGACAGAGTAATTTGATGCTTCATTCTAGTCCCAGCAAAAGTTTAATGTTCTACAATATTCAAAATATATAACTTTACTCGAATACTGTTGTATCCTCAGATATCTGAGCATCAAATCTGCAATTATCTGTGATATAAAATGACATTATAAACACTTTTGCCTGCAATTATCTTATTGCAGTTGAAAATGTGGCCACTACACTAACACACTTGTAAATGTGGCCACTATACTAATTAACGCAAGGGAAAGTGAGACCACTGCATTAACTAATGCATTTAAAAATATGGCAACAATACTAACGTACTTGAAAGTGTGGCCATTACACTAAAGTACTTAAAAGTGTGGCCATTACACTAACACACTTGAAAGTGTGGCCACTAAACTGTGTAATGCACTTGAAAGTGTAGCCACTACACTGACTGATGCACTTGAAAGTGTGGCCACTACACTATCTAATATACTTAAAAATGTGGCCATTACACTAACGCACTTGAAAATGTGGTAGTAACTTACTTGGCAATAATCTAGGTTAGTAAGATTACTGCTTATTTCATATACAATAATTGTAGTTCACATATTTCATACAAACAGCAATGCTATAAAATAATTTCTATAAGCAATCCCTAAAAGATCTTGTTTATATTTAATTAATCCTTAATTGAGTTTTACATCAAAAGGAAACCTCGAGGCTGGGTTTTGGGGAAATAAAATTAAAGTAAATGTTGTCTTAATGAAATTACACTAAGTACAACTTCAATTTTCTCCGAAGATCATTGTCCGAGATATACTTTGGTTTTTTATCACAAGTTAATAAGTAAATATTTATAGGTATATAATCTTAATAATCAATTCTGTCTCTACAAAATTAAAAATTTAAAAAAATGCGCATCATTTTTTCCTTCTCATAATCTGATTGAATGGTAATTAAAAAAACGATGGGTTGACAATTTATGACACGATACGAGATGAAACTTGTGGAAAATATTTGCAGCAGATTTTATAAACTTAATCAATAGGCCAATCTTTAATGTGACATAATTTCCACTATATCCTTTATCCAATCTCAATAAAAGCTAAAAGGAATATTAAAAAAATGTTTAACCTTTCTGCAAGATTAACTGATATCCTCTATAGTGCATTGTTACGAGAACCTTTTTTATTGCTGGCCATACATAGCCTGGAGGCATTTTAGAGTAATTGATGTCATATTTCTAGAGCAGCGTTCTGAATTCAACAATTTTTAATAAGATACTTTTTATCCACTGACCTGTATAAATGGAGTGGCTATAAGTCAGAATATTTTGTGCCTATTTGATGGTAGCAGTGGTGTGGATTCGAACTTATAAATAGAATTAACTGGCACGTAACATCAATAGGCGCGTTTACGAAACATAGCTGTCATTTTCATGCCTATCTATTTATAGAAATCAGTATCCAATTAAATTCTACACAGTAAATAATAATTCATTACAAATTTAAAGTCTGAGGTGTAACTTTAAAATTGATCTTCCGATTATATTTTACATCGGTAAGGTAAATGCCCACTCCGATATAAACGTATTGGTTATTGAACTTGCACTTAATTATTATTGGGTTATATAAAATTAAATATTTCCTGTGAAAATTCGAAGTATAAAGTTGGTCGGTGGCGGTAGCGATAAACAGTTAATTAAAACGTTAATAAAAGGTTATCGGCCACGGACGGAGGCATTGCATTATCGATGACAATGTTCCCACCCACAACAATAACCAATACACACTTTAAAATAGCAATATTATAATATTATAGATTAATAATAATATTGCCTGAGGATTCATAACGTTGTGTTGTTATGGAACTAACTAACTAGGTAATCAAAAGTTTTGAAAATAGTCACAACAACACACGAACGTAAACCGTAACCCAGAGGTTAGGCAGAGTCCAAAGACCTCCATTTCTTTCTTTTATAACAAAAGGGGCAAACGAGCAGCGGGAACACCGAGGTGTTCAACGACGCCCATGGACATAAGCAATACAAGAGGAACCGCAGATGCGTTGCCGGCCTTTGAGGTTGTGATAAGCTCGCTTCTTGAAGGACCCTAAGTCGTATTGAATTGGAAATACCGCCCTGAACAGACCATTCTACAACGCTGCTGTGCGACGCAGGAAGTTTGGAATTTGGCGCCCTCCACACAAAGTTCTATCCCTTCTTATAAATACGTACTCATACATGCAGTTTTCGATGCTCTTTATAAGAACCATAACCTTAAATATTTTGTAAATTGTTTTGTTTGCTACAACATTGCTATACCAAATATATTTTTGACTTTTTTTGGTAAGCGTAAAATTTAATATCTTTTTAATAATCGGTCTATTAAGAGTCCTATCTGAATTCATTCCATTCTTACGCATATCCTCTTTAACACATCCTTCTTTGAACCATTGAAAACAAATCTTAATGATTATAAAATGCAGTTATTTATAACCCTTTTTAATTCTTCTTAGAGATTAAAATACTATTTTTTTAATCTTTAAAGATTGTAATCGTGACTACTAATTTTGAATTAATCGATTAATAGCAGCTAACAAAGTTCGTTAGTAAATTCGCCATTTTGTGAAGCTTGTAAATAACACACGCGGCGCGGTATCGGCCATAGACTGGCTGGAATATGACGGAAATGTTTGATAATACTCGCTATTGAATTGTAGGCCTTATCATAAGCGATTAAAGTCTCAATTTAATTGAAAATTATATGATGGTTTTATTTCTCTTTATTATTCTAACCCGCGGGCGGTATGTATGCAGATACGTGAATTTTAACCGAACCTCGTAAATGACCCATTGACTACTACACATAAAAAATACTATTTTTTTTTTTTATTTAAAAATGATAAATTAGAAAATCTATTTATGTGTTGCATTGTTACTAAAATTAAGTCAGGTAAATATTTTTCAGTATTAATAATGTTTAATATTACTTCTTACTAATATTATAAATGCGAATATTTGTATGGATGGATGTTTGTTTGAAGTTATTTAGAACGGCTGTATGGATCTCGCTGAAATTTGGCATAGATTTAGAATGAAGTCTGGAAGAACACATAGCCTACTAATTAAGATTTTATTTAATACGGTGCGGACGGCGTCGCGAGCGACAGCCAGTCTCTACATAGCACCAGCAACTATTGAAAAGTAAGTTAAAATCAAACGACTAATGTGACAATGTAATTTTAATAACATTAATTTACGACTTTTCTCAATATATCATTACTTAATCAAGTGGAATCGTAGACAAGCGTTAGTTTAACCTTTAAAAAAATGTCATGCGAATGTCACATGTTAATCTAATTACAAAATAATGATAAAAATGATAAATTATACAATCATTTAATGACGAATTATATCATTGATGATAACATCATTTTATTACTATAATGATGTATTTATCGTAACCTTGGTTTATACGCTTGTATGTACTATTAGCTGTGCCCACGACTTCGTCCGTGTGAAATACTGTGATGCGCGTGGTTGGACAGTACTTGGACATTGCAACATTATTTTATTTTTCTAAAATAAAAAAAAATCTAAAATACATGTAGCCTAAGTTACTCCTTATTACATCAGCTACCTGCCAGTAAAAGTCCCGTCAAAATCGGTCCAGCCATTTCAGAGATTAGATGGAACAAACAGACAGACGGACATAAATTGTAAAAAAATATTATCTCGGTGTATGTACCGTATATATATTCTTATACATTTTTTTATATCATAAGGTGGCAAACGAGCGAGCGGCTACCTGATATCGCTGAAATAGCGAAGTGACCGTTGCCCATAGACGTACGCAATTGCATATGCGTTGCCTACCTTTAATCGACGGAGGAGAGGATGCACAGAAAGAAAATATTTAGTAAAAAAACGGTTATTTTAATATTACAAACAGACACTCCAATTTTATTTATATGTATAGATAAGTTATTCATTCTGAAAAACTCGCAAAATAATATACTTTTGAGTAATTTTATATTTATGTTATGGCAGTGAAAACTCGCCGTTAATTTAATATTGTTTTTTATCTGCTTACTTTTAGAGATCAACAACAATTACATATGCATTGTAAATGCATTTCTTTTAATGCATTTTAAAATGGCATTGTATATTGACAGGTTATGGCATGGCGTACACGGAAGCTGCAAAATAATTCGATACACAAAAACTATTCAGTGGCAATTTAAGCCGTATGATTTTGTTTTTTAGGTTGTTTTTATAATGTAAATTTTCACTCGCGGTGAAATTGTGACGTGCATTTATTTGGCTCCGCGACAGTAACATTTCGAATTCGCTAACGAACTTATTATTCGAAATTCGAATAGCAACTCTCAAAGGGCTGGCCGGCAGCGTTATTTATGCAAAATCGTATGCTCCCGTACAGATACGGGCTTATCTCTTTTAATTGAATTTCAAGGGACTGTCGTTTTAAAGGGTGCCTTTTTCGTTTAAATTTTTTGCGATTTTTCATATTTTATTTAAAAGTAGAATTAAAACCAGATGAATGATATTGTGACAAGTCACGAGGCTAGAAATGTGACTCACAAATATCCCTTATAACAATGAGGAAAACTTTTAAAAATAATTTTGTATGATTTTGAATGTCGGTTAAAGGGTTTTCATTTGGAAGTACATCAGAGGCAGGCCAGAGAAGTCGGAGAAATTAGGAATGATAAATGTATTTGTGAGACGAAAACCAAGTTCATTGTCCCAAAATAGAGCAGGATAGAGATGGAAGATGGCGGATATTGATATGTTATCCAAGCTGCAAAAATGTAGAGACAATAATTTACATTCTATTAAAGATAAATCAGTAATAATTTAGAAAAGTTTACTTGAAATTCACAGACTTGTAAACAAAATTCAAATACAAGGTAATGGTAAATCTCATCGTTTAGCGTCCGTTACTGACTATACATTGAGATTCATTTTATCGGCCATTCCGGAGATTGCGCGGTCGGTTGCCGGCGATTTTGCGTCCACTTGTATGCAAGTTGGATGACTTGATCGTTAAACGAAATATTACGAATACCTGTTGGTATATGTACTACCAATATTTCCCTAGGAATGATTAAACCAAGCTAATCTTAAATGACATAGAAAGGTTCGTTGCTCTTAGAGCCGTAGAGCTATGATGATATAATCATCATCTTCGAAAGATATAGATTTGATATATTTTATATATTAATTTGACGTACAAAAATACATATTACAAAATATATAAAATAGATTTCAATCTTACTTCTAAATGTAGCACCTTATCATTCTCAATTATTTCAATTTACAAATATGACTTACATTTTTCTTACACTATGACATTATCGCGATCGCTTCTAGTTGACTCTAGCATAACAATGCTAGCCAAATTCGAACTCAAATATTTAAAAATATTAAGGTTAAAAGATCTAAAATCCTGCAGCACTACCATCGCTGCGTGGATCAAAAGCACCTTCCAGCATACCATTTAGGTGCCGGACTAATGCACCAGCTTGACCCACCGTCTCACTGTACGGTGGAAGCAAACAAATTTCATGACCTCTTTTCTTCAATTCGTCTACAACTTCTGTGTTAAATCTGTCTTCTAAATGTAAAATATCATTACGATCACCATTGGTAGATCCGTAAATCCATCTTGGTGCTGAGATAGACTTTTGCAACCCAAAGCCTTGTACCACGTATCTGTGGAAGATCGCAGCTTGAGTTTGCGACTGACCATCTCCTCCTCTAGTACCGTATACCATGATTCTACCATCGTTTAGTCGAGCTGCAGCAGGATTTAACGTATGGAATGGTTTCTTCCTAGGATTCAGTGATAAAATGTGATTTTTCTCCAAACTAAAAGCAACCCCTCGGTTATGCCATAAAATACCCGTCCTGGGAAGAACGACACCACTTCCAAAGTTATAGTAAATGCTTTGAATAAACGAAACAGAGAAGCCTCTATCGTCCATTACACCTAGCCAAATTGTATCACCTGGGCCCTTGCCTTTACCTTCGTTCGACGCACGATCTGGTTTTATTCTGTGAGCCATTTCAGTAATTGCATGGCCAGCTAGCAGAGATTGAGGGTCCACTTTCATACAAGACGGGTCCGTTATGTAGCGATCTCGTACTACGAATGCCTGTTTTGTAGCTTCGACCACGTTGTGAATAAATTGTGCTTCATTTCGACCGTCGACGCGCAGTCTATCCAAGATCGCGAGGATCGAAAGCGAAACTAAACCTTGTGTCGGTGGAGGAAGGTTGAAAATTTCACCGTGTTCGTGTTGTAAACACAGAGGGGAACGCCTAACGGGAGCGTAATTCGCCAAATCGGATTCCGTTATTGGCATACCCATGTCCGACATATCTTGCGCAATTAATTTTGCCAATTTACCTTTATAGAAACTATTTAGGCCGTTCAATGAAAGTTCTTTCAATGTTGCCGCTAAAGTTTTTTGACAGAACCTTTCGCCTACTTTTGGTACTTTTCCATTAGGCAAATAAGTGTATTGAAATCGTTTCGTCGGAGTTGTCTTAGAGATTAAATCTTTTAGGTTGGTTTCATGAGATGTCGATACGGGAAAGCCATGTTCGGCGTAATAAATAGCATCTTCTAGAAGTTTTGAGACAGATATTCTTTGATAGCCGCATTCGGAGACGTATTTCAAAGCTTCCTCCCAACCACCGACCGTTCCTGCCACTGTTATGGCTGATTTGGGTCCAGACCTAGGTATTTCGTTTAATCCATCAAAAAAATCAAAGTCTGCTAAGCTGCCAGCAGCTCCACATGCTTCGATTGCGATTGGTTCACCGTGTGGGGGGACTATCAACCAGAAGCCATCACCACCGATGCTGTTCATGTGGGGGTAGACGACGGCGATAGTGGCCGCAGCAGCGACGGCAGCTTCCATAGCAGTACCACCACTTCTCAATATTTTCACTGCGCTTTGTGTGGCCAGATGGTGTGGGGTCACCACCATACCACGGGGAGCTGAGTTAGTTACTTCCATTTTGTTTCACTATATCGTGGTACGTCTGAAACGGAAGTATGTACCAAATTTTAATACTCATGCAGACATTTAAAAATTATTTTTTTTTACATTCCAACAGACAAGCGCATTAAGATTAGATATACTGATAAAAACAAAAACCAATTTGATTTGTCTTTTATTTAAAAAAAATGTTTTCAGTAAATTAGTGATAATATTTTATGTTTAAAACTAGCTGTCGCCCGCGACTCCGTCCTCGCGGAATTAAAAAAAAAACATAAGTAGCATATGTGTTCTTCCAGGCTATTCTACATGTGTGCTAGATTTAATTCAAATCCGTTCCGCTGATACCTTCAAACAAACATCCATCCATCTAAACTTTCACATTTATAATTTTAGTAAGAAGTAAGATAATTGGATGTTTTTAAATTTCGAATAAAGACACTTTTATAGCAACAGCGACATCTATCATGTTACTGTAATACTACATCAAGTTGATTTGTGAAAATATATTTTATCACAAAAGAGGGTACTTTAAAATTATTTTCAATTTACAAATGTCTATGGGTATTGAAAATTTACATTATAAAGATAAATAGTTATGTAATGTTTATCAATGTAAAAGATACGCAATTTACATATTAGGCAATTCATGCTTTTTACATTTTAAATATTTGCGTTTTCATTGAACTAAATTAATTACAGTGTAGTAAACACCTTTACTTCATTACCATTATTACATTTTAATGCCAAACTAAGATACCACGTAAATATCTAGATCAAAATTACCGTAATAAATGCTAATCATTTACTTTTAGTTAGATGTTTATAGAATTTTCAGTAACTATTAAATAGCCATCCTCGGTTTAAATTTGACAAATATTCATTGTTTGCTTTAAAAACTCTAATCATAGCCATCCATTTCAATTCCAAGGCGCCGATGTTTACATTTATTGATAAAGAATCTGTCAAAACGTAATCGCATGGTGGTCAAGTTCAAGTGATAATTTATTACCATAAGATAGGGTTGTAACAAAAAATAGTTTAACTGTACTTATTTACATCCTTTTGTTTTCGTTATTATATTAGAAAATAAAGATCTTCTTGAGACCTCGATAACTTAATAAATTGCAAAAACATTTCGATTCATGTCTGATAATTAATCCTACAACTGCATGTTAACTTTTATTTAATATTTAAAAAGGAATCAACAACAAGTTAACATTTTTAGAGTGCAAATATCACTTTATTAAACTAAATTAGTTCTGAAATAATATGAATAAGTGATAAACAGATGAAGAAGAAGAAGATAGACAGAAATAATTATAACCGTTTCGTTATCGTTTTTTAAAATACCAGTAGTCAACCCTAAACTTTAACGAATTACTGAACGCATTTTAGCACACTACCACACCGCCCGGCTTTGGCGATCATGAGCACAGTGCGTGCAGATCTAAAATAGAATTGTAATTTTTATATTTTGTGACGTATTATCAGGGCAAACGAACTTTAATCGATCGTTACTAAGTAAAACAACAGTTTTATTTTTGAGAGAAAACAATATTGTAGTGACAAAAACACTGTAATGTTTAAATCTTTGTTCAATTCTCTGATAACTCAGGCCAGCTGTCAAGAGGTGGGTAAGTTTTTGTATATTTTGAAAGGTTTAAGCGTTCTATTTATGAATTTGTAATATCAAACTGTACAAAACAAATTCTTTTGCTATTTTGTAAATTTTTTAATGTTAGAATTGCCCTTGAAGTGTCTGCCCTTGAAAATATACGTAACGTCAATGATGCGGTATTCTGGTTACATGAACTTAACCGTGTAAAACAGTACATTTAGCTCTTATTTCTTTTAGACTATGTATAATACGATTTTGTTACTGTATATTACGCATATCTGACTACACATTAGATAATCTTTACGTCTAACCTTTTTGACCTTCTACACTATGCAAATAATTTTCTTATCATGGGGTCTCACTCACCTAATTATGATGGCTTGATTTTTAAAAAAGGTTTATTGCCTTCCAAATTGGAATTTACCACCCTATAGGAGTGTTTCCAGTAATATGACTATGTAAAATATATATGTAACTTCGGTACACAAGATACCCTTATCAGTTACGTCAAGCTTGCTATCACTCTACAATTCAGTTTAACTGGAGACTTCGTGACAAAATGATTCCACGTCGGGTAATATGTTAATTATTCTTAGTTTTTATAATAAAACTTGTTTTAAATTATTCGATGCTTAACAGTTTGTGTTTGTGGTAAATGTGTTTTTATATAGTGGTTAAATTGTGATGGAAAATGTGATTTAAAATTTACACATTTGGGTTTGGTTTTTATTATTTAGTTAAATACATTTAATATTCATGTAATATTAATATGTAAAGAAAAAATTTAACAATTCTAGTATTTCACTATTAGTGCCCTGCGGTTTTATCTGCCACACCATTACCTTTAAATTCTTATAGCTACCAAATACAAGAACTTTTATATCCTTTTCACAATTCCTATGATGTACTTATCTTAAACTCATTGTGATTAATACATCTTTAAAATATCACACAAATATCATTTGAAACCTGCCTACAGCACTTCTGCAAACTTAAACAAAGTATTTTACTATGTAATGAAATAAAAACTTCTTTTTCATTAGTCATAATTCCGAATGATTTTCTTTATTCCTATCTACATCATACTTATTCAATATGACTTTGTAACTTACACAGCATTTTTCCGATGACAACATTTTTTACTTACTTAATTGATGAGTAATTGAAAATTTTCCACACATAAAGCTATCAAATTGAATATTAATAATGCATAATAAGCAATTTATTTAAACACTATCAACAAGCATAACATATTTTCTTTTTGTTTAATTATCTTACTTAATAATATAAATGTGAATGTTTGGATGGATGGATGTTTGTTAAATGGTATCTCCAGAATGGCTCAATAGATCTCGTTGAAATTTGGCATACATGTAGAACATAATCTGAAAAAACACTTAGACTACTTAGTAATTTTATTTTATTCTGCACGGACGGAGTCACGGGCGACAGCTAGTGTTAGATGAATGTTACAGATAGAAAAAAAATCCTTAAATTTTTTTAGTAAAAAAAAAACAATTTAAAAAGGTTCAAAGATAGTGTTTTTCAAAGAAAACTGTTAAATGTGTTTTTATCTTTTTTATGGTAAATACTTTTTGTTCTAAACTTTATGGATATTAAATAGGAAACAACTTACAGTCATGTTTTTATTACATAATATATTGTAGGTTATTCTTATCAGAGTATTATATTAGGCAATAACAAACAAATATTAATATAGTTGACCCTTTTATATTTGACTAGCTGTCGCCTGCAACTCCATCTGTACAGAATTTAAAAAAACTAATAAGTAGCCTATGTGATCTTCCTGGCTCATGCAGGCTTTTTAGACATACCTCCTAAAATCCTAACTATTTTATACTAATATTATAAATGTGAATATTTAGATGGATAAATGTTTGTTAGAAGGTATATATGGAGTGTCTCAACGGATCTTAATGAAATTTAGCACAGATGTAGAACAGTCTGGAAGAACACATAGGCTACTTATTATGTTTTTTTAATTCATGGCAGAGTTGCGGGCAACTTCTCTCCTTAAAATGACATTTACGTTTATAGGTTATCTATGTGGATCTGTAAGGAATCTAACCACCTTTAAAGCGTCAATAGCCTAATGGTTAAGGGTACGGATTTCCAATCACGAGGTCGGGTGTTCGAATCCCGCCATTCGACTATTGTCGTAAACCATATCCTAGCACAGGTTTAGAGCTTATTTGGAATGATTAAAGAAATATTAGTAAATTTAGACAAAAATTTGCTAATATTTAAAAAAAAACCTTTGAATTTTAAAGTAGTCTATATATCTAGGTACATTTTTTTGATACTCTTTGGAAAGTAGTTGCCACCCTTCCTCTTTGGATTTGCCGATGTATGAAAATATATTCTTAAAAATGTTTCAATTACTATAGCAAATTGTCTTTATTACCCATTACTATTTGATATGGCTTCTAATTTAATCTTATTATGATCATGTTTTGAATTGAATTTAACTAATCTTATTTTATTTATAATGTTAAGCTTATCAACTACATTGATATGTAACTGATAGTTTTCAAGTGCATATCTTGAAAAATATAAGTTAAGAAAGTAAATACATTTGGTTTAGTTGATATAGGGAACTTTTTCCATTGGGTTAATAGTGGAACACACTTGATACCGTGTTCCGTATTCGTACCACCATAAAGTTTGTACGGAACTGTATTTACCAGGAAAATTGTAAACAACAAAAAATTAAGTTAAACTTATTTTGTAATATACTGCAATTACTTTGACCGGAGTTGCATCTTGCAAGCCATAGTATTACCTCTCTTACGACATTGATTGCAAACGTAGTAATTATAGTGTTCGTTGATTGATAACTCAGGCTAATCTTAAAAACCTTGAATTACATAAATATGCGAAAATTTTGCATAGAATCTTCGTTACAAATATATTTTAATTTATCCCACGAACTTGATTTTTACGGACAGTGGGGCTAATGCGAAAATTTGTGACAAGTGTCATTGTATTATACTTCCATGTAGTGTATACATCCATGTTCCATCCGAGGTCCGTTCAACTGTTCTGGAGATACCTTCAAACAAACTTCCATCCATCTAAACGTTCGCATCTATATATAAAAGAAAGTCGTGTTAGTTACACTATTTATAACTCAAGAACGGGTTTACCGATAAGGCTGAAAATTGGTGACGAGGTAGCTTAGAGCCAGAACACGGACAATGGATACTATTTATGCATTTTTTTCGAATTTATGCCTTGAAGAGAGAATGTTTAGATGGATGTGATGTGGATAGATGGATGAGTGGGCTACACTAATTAAGTTTATATAACCACGCGGACGGATTCGCGGGCGACAGCTAGTTTATAATATTAGAAAAATAATTTTAAGAGACGAGTTAAGTTACGCGAGTAAAGTGACAATGCGTTGGATAATCTTATATTACGACATTGTAATAAGGTCTATTATAGCTTGTAAAATAAGATCTACATTAGCACTTAGTAACTGCATAACAATGAGACATCTATATTGTTTACAATGTTTAAACATAAACAGTATCGTCTATAAGAAATGTTGGCACAACATCATTGCATTCTCACAGCCCACGCTTATCGTTAGTAACGAATACAAAACATGAATAGTGACGAAGTATTTTTGTATTTGCGCCAAAACATAAGGGCTAATACGCTCATTAACATAATATCACTCGTGTTTGTTAGTATATCTTAGTAATATAAATGCGAATATTGAGATGGATGGATGGATAGATGTTTGTTTTAAGGTATCTCCGGAACGGCTGAACGGATCTTGTTGAAATTCGGCATAGATGAAGAGATGTTTTTTTGTTACTCCGCGCGGACGGAGCCGCGGTTGACAGCTAGTTATATATATATATATATATATATATATATATATAGGTTACTCAGTATATTTGACTAAGGTCATAAATTATTAGATCCAAATGTCTCGTCACCAATCGTGACGTGACGTCATGAGGTTAATAAATAAATAATTTATCTCTGCTTGTTCGTTGATCATTTCGATGTCCATCCATCATCAAAGAGGCTTGCGGATTAACGGTACGGCGACGTCTGATGAGTGACGACCTTTAATTTATGTATGAATTTATTTCTAAAAACGGGAATATTATAACATGCCCTTTTTTAAAGGTACGCTTTACTTCCGAGACTCACCGTGTGTTTCTGAGTGGGGATTTTTCAGTCAGAAACCCACGGATAAACTACGGATAATTTAATATGTACGTGGGTGTACAATTAATGATTTGTTCCAGGGGGCTGGTTACTTAAAACGGGCGGACACCGAAAGACTACATGAGATCTTCCTGAAATACGCGACCGTTGAGAAAAACGGCGAAAAACTAATCACCAGTGAGGATTTTGTACGGAAGTATCTCGGATTATTTGACGAAGGTTTGTACTACTTTTTCTGATATCCATACTAATAGCCCCACCCTCTTTTTTCAAGGTCGAATTCTGACCAATTGTATCCCAAATTACTTGACTTACTTTGTGTGAAGTGTCTTGATTCGTATACTTTCCTTTTTGGTGGATATCTCAGTCTGTTTTAGAGGAAATTGATCTTTAATACGTAAACATTTGTGTCCATTTTCCAGATGACTACAACAAGGAGTCTGTCAAGCTCATCGCGGGCATCGTTGACATGGATAAGGACGGGTACATCTCGTTCTCAGAGTTCCAAGCCTTCGAGGGCTTGCTCTGCGTGCCAGATGCCCTATACAAGACCGCCTTCCAACTCTTCGATACGAATGGCAACGGACTTGTCGCCTTTGGTAAGTGTACAAGACTATTTTAAATTGAATCTTACTAATATTTTAATAAACGGTTCCAAGGATCTTAACGAAATTTTACGTAGATATAGAACATAGTCTGGAAGAATACATAGGCTACTTACTTAGTTTTTTTAACACCGCGCAGACGGAGTCGGGGAGACAGACAGCTATCAATCGAATCGATAAAACAAACTTTATACATAATTTTACAATCAAACAGTTTCGATTCAGAATCAATTACTATTATTTGACTACAAAATCAGTTTTATTTTTACCACTAACGTTCCATTAAAGGAGGCTTTAGTATAGTATTTGCATTTGAAATCTTCATTTTGTATGCTTAAGTAATTCGTAATTTGTTATATGCCTTATTTCAGATGAGTTTGCCGAAGTCATGCGTAAAACGGTGCTACACAAGAAATTGCCGTTCAACATGGAAAGTACATTTGTTCGTCTCTACTTTGGCAAGGATAAGAAGAGGCTAGTGACGTATCCTGAGTTCAGCCAGTTCCTCCATGACTTCCATGAGGAGTACGGTGTGGAGGCGTTCAAGAAGTGTGACAAGGATGGTACAGGGTTCATCACTGTTGCCGACTTCAGAGACATCATGTTGTCGGTTAAGAACCATCTGCTTACTAAGGATTTGAAG